GGTGTCATCCAGGATAAAAGCAGGAACAAATGTCTGTACAAATGCAGAGATCCATGTAGAGAAAGCATAGGTGAGCAAGAGTATATTTTCACTGACCAGGTGCAAAACAACCGAAGTCATGGCGCCACAGTGGTTAAAGAGCTCAGTTGCTAAAGGCTAGTGGTTCAAACCTACCAGTCGTTCCACATGAGAAAGATGTGTCAGTCAGCTTTCTTAAAGATTTACAGCCTTGGGAAATAGAGGAAAGAACTAGGAGGCAAAGGACATTTAAAGAGGTCTAAATACAGGCATGTATATATGTAAATATATTTATATATAACCATGAGGACATAGATCTATGTACATATATTTATATAAGTATTAAGGTAGCAGATTGGGCCTCTACTCAAGTACTCCCTAAATGCAAGAACACTCTGTTCTGATAGCCTGGCATTGTGTGATGCTCACCTTCCTGACACCGATAACTGAAGACAAAATGGGTACATAGGCAAAAGTGGTGAATAAAGCTGATGGTGCCCAGCTATTTAAAGACATAGCATCTGGGGTCTTAAAGGCTTGAAGATAAACAAGCAGCCGTATAACTGTGAAGGAACAAAACCCACATGGAAGAAGCACACCAGCCTGTGTGATCAGGAGGTGTCAACAGGATCAGGTATCAGACATCAGAAGACCCAAAATAAACAATCCTATCAATGCAAACAAGGGGGCTGGAGTGGAGACCCAAAGTCCATCTGTAGACCATTGGACATCCCCTTATAGAAGGGTCACAAGGAAGGGATGAGCCAGCCAGGGTGCAGTATAGCACCAACAAAACATACAACATTTCTCAAGTTCTTTAATGCTTCCCCCACTCCACCCCCCAATATCATGACCCCAGTCTACCTTACAAATCCGGCTAGACCAGAGCACGTACATTAGTGCAGATAAGAGTCCTCGACATATGGAATCCAGCACAGATAAATCCCTCAGGAACAATAATGAGAGAAGTGATACCATGAGGGTAGGGGGAAGGAGTGGCGCAAGAAAGGGGGAACCAATCAAAATGACCAACATATAACCACCCCACACCCACACCCAGGGTGACAACAGATACATGGGTGAAAGGAGACAGGGAAGTTCAAAGGGATCAGATAAAATGGTTTGGCAGATATGAAGATCTGTTGTTAAAGGAATAACAAAACAAATAGAAGCGGTAGAATTATATGTTTGTTACAGACTTACATTCATTTCAACAAAAAAGAGTACAATATATTAAAATGTAGATACAAACAAATAGAAACAGGAATAGAAATAAAATTAGATGTCTGCTTGTATATTTAGAATTTAAAAAAAATAATATTTAAGAAACTGCTAACAGTGGTTATCTCTGAGAGTGAAAAGGGGGAAGAAATTTTAATTCCCCCTTACACATTTCTGAAATGTTAGAATATAAATGCCATAATCATATTTTATTTTTTAAAATACAAATTTAACTCCAGGTGTTTGAAAAAAAAGGAGGGCTTATTGGCTTATTAAGTTTGAGCTTTCAATTCCAAGACAGAAGCCTGGGTCAAACAATCTTTCCTTCCCCTCCCAGTTCCCTGAGTCACACTTCTGACTCATCCCTGTGAAGACAGATGCCGAAATGACCTTTGTCCACGCAGGAGAACATCTAGAATGTTATAGTTCATGGACGCTTTAGAACAAATAGCTTAACAGCCTCTTTCTTCTAGTGCAGGAGAAACATGACTACATCCGTGGACTTCCCAACATTGACATGTAGTGACTTCTTGGGAGTGAAAAGTTCACTGGCATAGAAAGTCAAGGAAGAGGCAAAAAAAATTGTAAAGTAAATAAACTCTGATGAAGTTTTATCAACATTCATCTGTCAGTTTTTTGAACTGTGGTGGTTTGTGTGTTGCTGTGACGGTAGAAACTTCCGCCAGTATTGAAAATGCCTACAGGGACCTTCATGGTAGACCGACTTCCCTAGAGCTTCCAAACTATGGCAGATTGAGAAGAAGACCTGGTGATGTACTTCTGGAAAAAAGTGGCCAGTGAAAGCCACATGAATCACAGCTGAACATTTGTCTAACAGTGTCTGCAGATAAGCCACTGACATTGGAAGGCGTTCAAATGCGCTGTGGAAGGGTTACCTTTCCAAAGTGAGTCCACCTAATGACAGAGGGAGACCAAGCCTTTAGGACCTTCTGTGCTAATGTGCCATGACTCACAGTGAGAGGAAACCGCCGCAAACGTCCCTTAATGATAGAAATATGGAATGTACAAAGTTTGACTCTAGGAATTAGGAGTTATCAAAAATGAAATAGAATGCTTACAGATTGATATCCTAGGCATTGGTGAACTGAAATGGACTGGATATTGTCCTTTTGAATCAGATAATCAATTTTCCAGTCATGACAAATTGAAGAGGAATAGTGTCAATTCATTGTCCAAAAGAACATTTTAAGATCTATCTTGAAGTACAGTGCTGTCAGTGATAGGATAAAATCCATATGCCTGGTCTGTCTAAATAAGATAGGCTGGATGAACAATCTGGCAGAGAAAACAATGGGACAGGGGGAGGTGGGGGGAAAGGTAGTGGTGTTAACAAACCCAGGGACAAGGGAACAACAAGTGATCCAAATCAGTGGTGAGGAGGGTGTGGGAGGCCTGGTAGGGCATGATCAAGGGTAATGTAACCAAGAGGAATTGCTGAAACCCAGGTGGGGACTGAG